CCTGGCCTGGGACACTCCCAGGGATGGAGCAGCCACAGCTGCTCTGGGCAACCTGTGCCAGTGCCTCAGCACCTCACAGGGAGCAATTCCTGCCCAATCTCCACCTGTCCCTGTCCTCTGGCAGTGGGAATCCATTTCCTGTGTCCTGTCCCTCCAGCCCTTGTCAATAGTCTCTCTCCATCTCTCCTGGAGCTCCTTCAGGCACTGAAGGCCACAATGAGGTCACCCCAAAGCTCCTCTTCTCCAGGCTGAACAACCCCAACTCTCTTATCTTGAAGGTCTCTTCCAGCCTTGGTTCCAAGAGAGCTGAAGTGGCAATGCTTTCCCTGGCTGCAGACACTGATTGGGGTGAGATAATTAGAGGCACTTGATCTCCTGTGATTAGAGCATGAGGCAGAAACAGCACAACTTGATTTCAGATTTTAAGAAAGGAGTTGATTTATTGCACTCCCTGAAAAATGATAAACACGAAACCTCATGCCAGTATCTTTCCTGTGTCAATTTATGTAAATATGACATGGAATTGCTTTGATCTCCACAGAAAGTGGCTTCTAGTTTACAGTTTTCCTCAGCTATAATGTGTGGAGATCATCCATCACTGCTAAGTGCCTTTAGGCCTGTCTGTTTCAGGACAAGATATGGGAGTATCAACTCTCCCACCCTGATAATTAAAGCCTTTAAGTACACTATGAAAACATTTCTAGGATGACATTCTCAAAGAAAGAGCTTTTAGCACTGATGTCTCCCAGGGTATATAGCCCCTCCCTGCATAGAAGGGAAATAAAACCCCTTGAAAAGTGGTGCATTTGGGCAGATTTGAAGTGTTTGTTTGCACTCTGCTCATCTGTGACTGCAGTGATGGAAATAATGAGCTCTAGGACAGAGGGGAATTGCCCCAACTTATGGGACAACCCAACCTATAGGTTTGTTCATGCAGTAACAGGTTGCCCAGAGAAGTTGTGGACTCATCCCTGGGAGTGTCCCAGGCCAGGCTGGATGGGGCTTGGAGCAGCCTGGGCTGTTGGGAGGTGTCCCTGCCCAGGGCAGGGGGTGGGACTGGATGATCTTTATGGTCCTTCCAACCCAAACCTTCTCTGATTCTTTGAATGAAAAGAAAAAATTACATCCCCATCTCATCCCACTGAATATTTTAGTGGATATATTTAATTCCAGACTCCAGTTATAGACAGCACTGCAGTGATTCTTCTCCTGGACTTGGTGCTGGTGAGGCCACACCTTGAATCCTGTTCTCAGTTCTGGGCCCCTCAGCTCAGGAGGGACATTGAGGTGCTGGGGCAGGTCCAGAGAAGAGAAACGAGGCTGGTGAAGGGACTGGAGCACAAGTGCCATGAGGAGAGGCTGAGGGAGCTGGGGGTGTTCAGCCTGGAGAAGAGGAGGCTCAGGGGAGACCTTCTCACCCTCTGCAACTCCCTGACAGGAGGTTGGAGTCAGGTGGGGGTTGGTCTCTTCTCC